TTTTCATGCAAATTCTTCTGCTAGTTGGGGTTTAGTCCAAATCTGCATCCTTTCCTTCAAGGCTCAGGGGTCCAAGATTATCTTCTGTGTCTGTGTTAACTGGTTTCCCTTTTCTTTGTTGAAGAGGGTCTGTGCAATCCTTCTGCCTAGTCCGCCATCTTGCCCCGCCTCATGAGTACAGCTTTTGAACGAGCTTACTAAATAAAGCACCCAGTGCTTATTAAAATAGGGAATTTCAGTGTAATAGGTGAAATAGACATTTAAACAAATTGCTAAATTTCAGAAAACTTAATTTGTGGAAACGATCACCAAAACCTAGTCAGACCTTTATGCACAGAGTTACTTTCTATTACCAAAAAAATAATTAACTTTTAGGTGGGTTCTAGTCAATGTACATTATGTCATTACATTTGTTTTCATTCAATAATATTTGTGAGTCAAAGATATATAGATTTCAGATGAGAGAGCAATATAGTGTGAGCCAAGACTTTTCCCCTGAACATCATTACTGAAATTCCATATGTTTCCACTTGTCAACAATACTAAATTAAATTCATATTGTTTATTTCTCCAACTGGCTACTCCTGTTAATTTTGCTACTCTTAATAATAATACCACTACCATTTTTCCCATTGTTTAAAGTGAAATATTATATTATCTCTTCTATACTCTATATCCAAAGAGTTGTAAGTTCCTTCATTAGAAGAAAGTGATACATATAGCTCTATAGTACAGTTATAATATAAATGTAGAATGGAAGTGAATAATAGGTATTATAGATTACAGAAGATCTCTGGTAGTGCTGCAGTTAATGCATTGAGTTGCTAACCAAAAATATGGCAGTTCAAACCCACCAGCTGCTCCCGAGGAGAGAGATGAGGCAGTATAGTATACTTCTCTAAAGATTTACACCCTTGTAAACTGTATGGGGCAGTTCTACTCTGTGCTATAGGGTTACTATGAGTCTGAATTGATTGGATGGCAATATGTTTGAGGTTTTTTCTTTTTTTTTTTCTTAATCTTATGGTCATTATCATAGTTCATGGCATTGTTATCTTTTGTAATACATCTTTATGATACATTACAATTCCTCTATGCAGATATGGTCCAATTTTCCAAGGTTTCCAAATCTCTGTACATCCAGTCTCTCTTCTTATGAAAGTTGTCTTATAGCCATGGACTGGTACAAGAAATTTTCCTAAAGCATACATTCTCATCAAGCTGGAAAAACCTTCACTGACTTAACATAAATATGGAATAAAGCTTATTCTAACTAATATTTCATTAAAATCTTCCATTCAAAAAATATATATATATATCACTGGTATTGAGTCAATTTCTACTCATAGCAACCCCTCCTTGGGTTACTCAGGTGGTATCTCTACAGAAGCAGATTGCCCAGTCTTCTTTCTGAGGAGTAGCTGGTGGGTTTGAACTGCCAACCTTCTGGTTAGCAGTCAAATACCTTAGCCACAATGCCACCAAAAAATCTTCCATTATGTGATGTCAATTTGTCTTTTCAGCTTTACCTCTTATTACTACTTTTTTGTGCACATCATTCTCTAGTTAATCTATTGTTATTTCCATTATCTAATGATATTCATGCTTTCTAACAACTAGAATGGCATTTTTCTTTTTTTTTCTTTTTTTCCTACCACACTCCTGTTCAATTCTCAATGTCCAGACTAAAAGATCTTTTCCTTAATTTTTCATTCTTGTTTACTCTCTTTTGTTTCATTTATTTATTTTCTATTCCATGTTCTCTGTTCTTCCATGGAACATTCCCATCTCCTTTCCATTTCTTGGGGTATGCCTTACAGATGTTTTTTTTTTAATCTCTTCTCCCCTACTTGGGGTCAACGATATTGTTGTGGCTGTTGTTATGTGCCATCAAGTCAGACCTGACTCATAGCAACCCCTCCTTGGGTTTCTGAGGCAGTATCACTATGGAAGTAGATTGCCCAATCTTTCTTCTGAGGAGTGGCTTGTGGGTTTGAACTATGAGCCTTCTGGTTAGCAGTCAAGTGGCTTAGGCTCTGCACTACCAGAGCTCCTAGTGTTCAAGCGTAGTGCTTAATAAAGTTTGTAGTAAAAATAAAATAAAATAAAATAAAAACTCACTGTCATTGAGCTGATTTTGACTCATAGTGACCCCCTTTGGATTTCTGAGGTGGTGGATCTTTAAGGAAGTGCACTGCCTACTCTTCCTTCTGTGGAGTGCCTTGTGGATTTGAACCACCAACCATCAGGTTAGCAGTCAAATGCCTTAGGCACTAAGCCACCAGAACTCCTTAAAGTTTGTAGCAAATCGGAATTTATTTACAGATTATTGGGGGAGGTGGCATAGTGCCTAAGGCACTTAACTGATAACCAGAAGGCTGGTGGTTCAAACCCAATGGCCACTCCTCAGAAGTAAGGTTGCACAATCTACTTCCATAGAGATACCACCTCAGAAACCCAAGGACTACGAGTCGGAAATGACTTGATGGCAGTGAGTTTGGGTTTGGTTTACTACAAACTTTACATACATACATACATGTATATATATATACACACACACACACACACACACACACACACACACACACACATATATAAAGTTTGTAGTTGATCCCATATATTCTGTTAATGAATTCTGATTTGTCTACATTAACAGGCATAGAAGGATTTAGTCCAAGGAGATTCTTTTAGCAATTTGAGGCTGATGATGGTTATACACGAGTAACTACAAATCTGACGTTTGTTTGCATTTCCTCATGGACATGCAAAGAACATTGTTTCTCTGAACAGTATAGCATTTCTTTAGTGTAGGTAATCCCACCACATTGACTTCCTTTATCTGTCTCTTTGTGAAAATTAACCTGGGCACATTTGGGCTAGCAGTCACAGCCATAGCCTCCCTTTATACTCTGATCTGTCATGAGAGACAGTGATCTGCTAGGCAAGGAGAAGGGAAAGAACTATATCTCACCACCCAAGATGTCACAGAGCAGCATAGGGAAGGGGCAGATGCCACTGGATAATTAATAGACAGCACTAGATCTCCTCTTTCCTGGCTAAGGGATACTTTGTCTGCATATGTCCAATTCACTGAGGAGTCTACTTCCTAGGAGACTCAGTGGTCAATCCTGATTATAAATAGCTGACTAGTTTAAGCATGGTGATCCTATTCTCTTCCCTAGAGAGATTTCTTTGGTGATGTGTAATCCAAATCTGGCCAATGGACTATGAAAGAAATTTTGGTAGAGAAGTATCTTCATTCTTGAAAAGAAACACAAAAAACAAAATCTGTTTTGTGTTTTAGTTGTGTCTGAATATGACATTTGGTACCATGGCCATTGTTTTGTGACTATTATCAGGTGCTATACTTTGGACATTGCTGACATGCTATGAGTTACAATGCAGAGACACAGAACAAACCTGTTAACTTGATAATATTATCACAGTTCTGTAGGCAACTTACCTCATGACTTCTATTAATATGGAACACACATTTTCTTTTCGGTTTTTTTTTTTTTTTTTTTTTTTTTTACTGTTAGTTAATTCCTGGGTTTGCATATTAGATCAAAATGTTATTTTAACAATACTCAGAATCACATTTTTGAGAGCTGAGATGAACCTCAGGAATACTTTAGTATAATTCAGCTGAGACAATATTCATCAATGAACAACATCAACCTCCTCATTTTTCAAGAGCTATTATTACCAACGTCAGTATTTGTACTTTTTTATACTCAGAGATGTAATTAAAATGAAATAAAATAAATGCAGACAATCATACTCATTGACAACAAAAAGGATATTTCCCTAGCAATGCTGTTCCAACTCTATAATCACTGTAGCTCTTGCTTGGATGGAAGTTGAAAATAAAAAGAAGATTTGCCCTCTCAAAGCTGATGATCTTATTGGATTCATGCTGTTCACTCACATAGGCCTGTAAGAATGAACACACAATTATTACATTAAATATTACCTAGATGTGGCTACAGGTATTATTTCCAAGAAATAGTTTTCTTAATAACTTTATTATTATTAAACCAAAAATGAAAATGCCAGTGTGATGCAGTGAATGACTTAATATGGTTCTTCTAGCCATGGTTGTTGTGACTCCCACCAGATGACTGGGTGGAACTATGCAAATGTGAGGTATTTTTGGGCCACAAAGTAGATTAGATAGCTTAATAAAAATTTAAATAAGGTACATGATGGCACCCTTGTGGTGGTTGTTGTGTTGTTGTTGTTATGTGCCATTGAGTCGGCCCCGACTCATAGCGACCCCTCCTTGGGTTTCCGAGGCAGTATGTGGTGGTAGGACCATACAAATAAGGTTACGTGGAACCGTAACATGAGGATTGGTCAGTTTTGTCATTCTGCTAGGCTTAAAATGAGCCACCCCAGAGGCAGAAAGGAAGATCTCACTACTGTTGAGAAAGTGCAGCCAGGAGGGGAATATATCCTCGGACCCAAGATTCCTGTGCTAGAGCTCCTCAAACTGGGAGACAGAGAGAGCTGTAATCCTTTGCTGAGATGGTGAGAGATGGCAAAGAAAAAGCAGAGAGATGGTGTAGCAGAGGCAGTAGGGTCAAAAGACCAGCACGAGACTGAGCAGAGGCTTCCTGGCCCATGGAACAAGAAAGATGAGTGCCTTTAATCAGGAAGCTTGCTGGTGGAGTAGGGTGCTTCTCTATGTACCTATCAGCAAAGCTAAAAGAGCCTTGTAACACTGGCTTGAGCAGGGCAGTGACTGAGGCAAGAAAGAAGTATGCTTGTGCCACAGCTGAGAAGATGCTGTTCTGATTAAAGAACTGTTTCCTAAGTTATTTTTTGATGCTGAATTATAATCAGTTATTTCCCTAATAAACCCCATAATCATGAGTATTGTGTTTGAGTTTGGTGTAGCCGTTTTGCAATGAATTATTAAACCTAGCTCTGGTAGCATAGTGCCTAAGGCACTTGACTGTTAACCAGAAGGCTGGTGGTTCAAACCCATAGCCACTCCTTGGAAGGAAGATGCAGCAATCTACTTCCGTAGTGATACTGCCTCAGAAACCCAAGGAGGGGTCACTCTGAGTCAGGTCTGACTTGATGGCACATAACAACAACAACAACAACAGCAGAGAAGTAGAGTGCCATAAAGAGACAGTTGTGCCAGAATTGGCAAAAAGACTGGAGGGCGGTGGCATACCTGACCACTGCATCATAGCAATCAGCCTTGGACTGATGCTGCTGATGGTGATTCTCTCCCCCTCTTGAAGTGAGATGTGGTCAGAGGACACAAAGGCCACATCCTCTTTCCATACAGCATATAATATTTTTTGAGCATATTATAATTTTACCATGTCAAATTCTAAGCCAACAAGAATTACACAATTTGCTTAAAAACAGAAAAACCACCAGTCACTTTCCAATATCAAACAAAGCATAACCAGAGGATTAGTGTTGTGGCTTAGATTTTAGGTAAAAAACATGGCTGCTATACTATATATAAAGTCTCTGTGTTATTGCTGTTGTCGTTTTGCTGTCAAGTCAGACCGACTCATAGCTACCCTTCCTTGGGTTTTCGAAACAGTATCACTACAGAAGTAGATTGCCCAACCTTCCTTTTGAGGAGTGGCTAGTGGATTTGAATTGCCAGCCTTCTGGTTAGCAGTCAAGTGCCTTAGGCACTATACCACCAGAACTGCTCCTAAAGTCTCTGTGTATGTGCCTGTATTAAAACCAACTAGTTATTCTTGAGTTAAATCCAACTTATGGTGACCCCATGTG